AGGTGAGAGGATTCACCAGAGACAGAGTGGGGAGCAGAACAGGCAGACTGACTGAAATACACTGCTGAGGGGAGCAGCGGGTGAGACAGGAGAGGTCTGCTGTGTTATGTGGGTTATCTCCCTGACTGGGGATGGAACTCATGCTGCTGAGGCTACGGATAGCTTCATAGTGCTGCATCTTAACCCCTTGTGCCTCCAGGGAGACCTCGGTTTTGAATTTAATGACTTGTTTTATGATCCAGCACATTGTTCTTCTTGGTGAACATTCCACATACATTTGAAAATAATGTGTTCTTTGGTTGTTGGGTGAAAGTGTCTAAAATGCATTTTAAGTAAAGGTGGTTGCTAATGTTGTTCAGATGTATTCCTTGTGGATATTTGATTGTCCCTATTTCTGAGAGGTGGTGGTTAAACTCTATTTTAATTTGTTTCTTCTTTCTTTAGTTTTGTCCATGTTTGCTTCATGATTCTTAAGTAGTTTTGACCTAAGATTAGACATTAGGTCTTCCTGATGTATTGATTTATATTATTTCTTAAAAATTACTTTATAGGGCCTCCCTGGTGGCGCAAGGGGGTAAGCACTGCACTACGAAGCAATCTGCAGCTTCTGCAGCATGAGTTCGATCCCTGGCCAGCCAGGGTGAGGCATGACCTCTCCTGTCTCACCCGCTGCTCCCCTCAGCAGTGTATTTCAGTTGATCTGCCTGTTCTGTTCCCCACTCTGTCTCTGGTGAATCCTCTCACCCTCTGCCTCTTTGGCCTGTACCCCAGCTCTTGTATGCATAAATAAATCTTTAAAACAATTACTCTATAATTCTATTATTTTCTTTTAATATTCCTTCTCCCTGTACATTCTCAGTATAGTTTGATATCTTCCCTTTCTATCTTCAATCCATGACAAATCTCCAGCTATCCACCAAAACTGTTCCTGTCAACTCACCTGTGAATTCCATATTGATAAATCCAATGGCAACTCTCAGTTCTTTTTTTTTTTTTAAAGATTTATTTATGCATACAAGCATTGGGTACAGCCAGAAGCACGGGAGGGTGAGAGAATTCACCAGAGCCAGAGCGGGGAGTAGAACAGGCAGATTGAAGAAGTACACTGCTGAGGGGAGCAGCGGGCGGCAGGAGAGGTCTGCACGCCATGTGGGACCCTTGCCCAGCAGCCGGGGATCAAACTGATGCTGCAGAGGCTGCGGGCAGCCTCACAACCCAGCTCAACCACTGCGCCACTGGGGAGGCCCAACTCTCAGTTCTTATCTTACTAAGGAGGATATCAGCCTTTCTGTAATAAAAGTAAACCACATGTTAAGATAAAAATTCAATTAGCAGAAAAGATGCTTAATGTTTAACTCCTTATACAAACATAGCTTTGTAGATATCCAATATTACACTCTTCTTTATTCTTCTAAGCAGTGTAATTCTTTTTGTTTTCTGTGTGTATTTGGCTTCTTTTCTAATATATGTTATCAGAACCCTTTTCACATTATGTTATCAGATAATATACCTTTCCAGTAACCTTTTTGGAGTTTGTTAATTTATGATAAGGTCTACCTTTTCCTTACCTAAGCATCAAATTGTCTAATCTTTCATACTGATGTCAAGAAACTCCCTTTTCTCTTTACTATTCTACAAATCTTGGTGTGGGTGTGTGGTATTTTCATGTATATAAAATACATACAATATGTAATTTTCATTTAAAAGTCTGGGTGCTTGGCCTCCCTCGTGGCGCAAGAGGTTAAGTCTCAGTACTCTGAAGCTATCCACAGCCACTGCAGCATGAGTTCGATCCAGGGCGCCACCCTCATGGTGCAGCAGACCTCTCCTATCTCGCCCGCTGCTCCCCTCAGCTGTGTATTTCTGTAGATCTGCCTGTTCTGCTCCCCATTCTGTCTTTGGTGAATCCTCTCATGCCCCGCACCTCTGGCTTACACCCCAGTTCTTGTATGCATAAATAAACAAATCTTTACAGATTTACTGAAATACACTGTTGAGGGGAGCAGTGGGTACAACAGGAGAGGTCTGCTGTGCCATGTGGGTTAACTCCCTGGCTGGGGATCGAACTCATGCCATAGTGTCTGGCGATTGCTTGATAGTGTTGAAACTTAAACCCCTGGGCCACCAGGGAGGCCCCAAACAATTGCTTTTTGATCCATTTAGAGGAGACAAGTATGGCCCTTTCTCTGTTAGTAATGGCTGCCCACTCTGTTCTAAAAATGTCTCCCCATATGTTGACTTTTCACAGTGGTAATGGATATAATTCTTTAAATCACCTCTCTTAAGCAAAATGAAATTTTTCAATAAATATTCCTGGAAGAGTAAGAAGACTTTAATAATTTTTTTTAATGATTTATTTTTATTTACTTATGAATACAAGAACTGGGGTGTAGGCCAGAGGTGCGGGGTATGTGGCGTATGTGTGAGAGGGTTCACCAGAGACAGAATAGGGAGCAGAACAGGAGGATCTACTGAAATACACTGCTGAGGGGAGCAGCGGATGAGACAGGAAAAGTCTGCTGAGCCATGTGGGTTAACTCCCTGTCCAGGGATCAAACTCAGGCCACAGGGGTGATAGCAGGAATCCTTAACCCCTATTCCACAGGGAGCCCCTAAGGAGACTTCTAATTGTCCCAGGGGCTACACCATAGGTCAACAGTGTAGTGGAGGGGACACCTGGAGTTGTCCCCACTGAGCCCTGCACCCAGAGTGCAAGCTCCCTCAGCCACTCACTGTCCCCCAAACCAGTCGAGGTAATTGCTTTCCACAAACCCTAAATCTGACTGCCTCCGAACACTTACCTATTTGGTAAAAAACTATGGCTCACTGGAAAGTTGTTCCTTGCTTGCCTGGGACTTCACACCAACTTTGGTCAGCACAAGCCTGTATGTTTCTCGCCTAGACAATGAACTGCAAGTGCTTCTAGTAGAGCTGAGCTTCAGCATCCAAGTTTGTCCTTCCTCAGATACTCTCCCTCAGCTCCAGTTCTTACATCTTTTTTACTTTTTTTTTGGCCAGAGATGTGAGGGGTGAGAGGATTCACCAGAGACAGAGTGGGGAACAGAACAGGCAGATATGGCTGAAATACACTGCTGAAGGGAGCAGCAGGCGAGACAGGAGAGGTCTTCTGCACCATGTGGGTAGCTCCCTGGCCGGGGATTGAGCTCATGCTGCAGTGGCTGTGGATAGCTTCATAGGTTGCATCTTAACCCGCTGTGCCACCAGGGAGGCCCTAGCTTGATATTCTTTAAACTTTCTTTTTTTTTTTTTTTTTTTTTAAAGATTTATTTATTTATTTATACATACAAGCACTGGGTACAGTCAGAAGCACAGGAAGGTGAGAGAATTCACCAGAGCCAAAGCGGGGAGCAGAGCAGGCAGAAGGGCCAAAGTACACTGCTGAGGGGAGCAGTGGGCGGCAGGAGAGGTCTGCGCGCCATGTGGGACCCTCCTCTGGTGGCCGGGGAGCAGCCGGGGATCGAACTGGCACTGCAGAGGCTGCGGGCAGCTTCGCAACCCAGCGCTCAACCGCTGCGCCACTGGGGAGGCCCCCTTTTTTTTTTTTTTTTTTAAAGGCTACATAGTTTTTTTTTTTTTTTTTTAAAGATTTATTTATTTATTTATTTATACAAGCACTGGGTACAGTCAGAAGCACGGGAGGGTGAGAGAATTCACCAGAGCCAGAGCGGGGAACAGAACAGGCAGAAGGACCGAAGTACACTGCTGAGGGGAGCAGCGGGCAGCAGGAGAGGTCTGCGCGCCATGTGGGACTCTCGCCCATCCTGGCGGCTGGGGATCGAACCGGCACTGCAGAGGCTGTGGGCAGTTTCGCAACCCAGGGCTCAACCGCTGTGCCACCTGGGAGGCCCTAAACTTTCCTTGTTTAAATCAATGTGTGGTTTCTGTCTTTTGATGGAAGTCAGATTGATACTTAGTAAACATCAAAGCCGATTATGTCAGTGTGCTGGGCATGAGCAAGACAAACAAGGAACTTGCTTTTAGGGACCTAAGACTGCACTGGCTGCTGATTAACACCTAACTCGTAAGCAAAATATTCAGGGAGAACACTCCAAGCACAAGGGAACAGGTCTAAAGAGGAAGTCTAAAGAAATGACAATGAATTTGATATGTATGAGAACAAAGGCCAGGGGCTAGAGATTTCAGTGGATAGAATAACAACAGATGAAGTGGACGAAGCAAGCCTTAGGTAGGGTAACCATGACTGTCTGCCAGGGCATTTTTGAGAATGAATGCAGCCTATTCAGTCACACCAGGGCAGTAGCAGTAATCTGGGATGTACCATCACCTGATAGGCCATTAGAAAGGAGTCTGGATACCCCTAAGTGTGATAAAATGCAATCAGATTTTCAGCAAAAGTCTAACATGGTCCAGTTTTAAGAGATTACTTTGGTTATGTGGAGAACGAATTAGAGCCAGTGCTCATTTAAGGGGCATAGATTCCTGGAAACAGCAACTTTAAATGAAATGAAATCTGGTGAAGAAGACAGGTTCCCAAATGGATCCACATTGGCAGGGACTTTTTTCTCATCAATATTTTGGTAGATTTGGGGTGTTTCATTCCCTCTAACATGCTAAGTACCACAGTGTAAGGCTATCTCTGGGGAGTCAGGAAGGCCTTATGGAGCTCACACTGGGGCTGAGTAGAGATAAAAGTAGCCATTCACATGTTTGTAGTAAGTAAATGAAAATGGAGGGAATGAAGGCACCGGGATGTTTTCACCTAAAAATGGTAATCACTTGGTCCTGGCGGGGGAGTATAACTGACAGGAGGAAGTAGGAAAGAGCATAGGAGAAAACCAGAACTTTCACTGGGGAAAGAAAGCAACATCATTAATGTTCAAAGCAACGCACTAAGGCTTATTCACTTAACCGGCATCTAAACAATATTGCTGTCTTCATATTCTAAAAAAACCTGCTCAGCCACAGCAGGTCCCAAGCGGCCAAACCAAGACTTAAAGCTGATTTTGTTAAAGGACAAAAACAAAACAAAGCCAGACCTGTGATGTCGTATGTACATTCAGAATTTTTATTTCAAAACAAAGAACCACAGTAACATTAATAGAAAATCCATTTGGAAATACTCACAAAGGGAAAACTTCCATAATGCATTACTACCAAACACCGTTTTTTGAGGAGCCAGAAGCAAAGGTGCAGTTAGAGGAACCTCACCAGTTCCAGCCAAGCCCCATTGCAGTTATAAGACTTACTACGACCAGAGGGAATGAGAACTAAAATACTGTCATAGGCAAGGGTTTGGTTAATTGATCTGAAATATGTAAGCACCAAGGAGGGAAGGGAGATCAAGCAAACTATGAAAAAGGGAAGAGAGGGTAAGTATCTTCAGGGACTAATCTCCATTTATTCAAGCTCAGGGAAACTAGATGATTATGGAGGTGTCCTGTTGAGCTTCGGCAAGCCTTAACCCCTCCATCTCATCCACGTCTCCGAGATGCTCCAGCGCTAGAAGTCTTCAGCTTATTTCTTATCCCCTTAAAAGAATGCCTCCCTCTCCCCTAAGACTCCCCCACTGCACCCCCAAAAGGTAACATCCCAATGTCACTCTTCCCTACTCCCATTACCTGAGTCTAGAGTGAGGTGGAGTCTTCCACCTTAATCTCAAGATTTAGGGAGCTCCTCCCTCCCACTCTCCAACAAGGAAAGGCAGCCAGATGAGATGGAACTGTACAGTTCGGAAGAAAACCAGATGCAAATTCCACCCAACAGAGGCAGTGTTATTTCTATAGAGGGCAGAGTTTTAACACAGTCAATCCAAAGGGGCTATAGGAACACAGAGGAAGCAAGTTACCAATACTTCCACCTAGAGCAAAGTGACAGTGCACATACATTCATACTCAAGTGTGGGCCACACTGCACGTTACTCACACTAGTTTAAATGTGGTCTGTAGGTGACTCAAGTCCTCCAAGGGCACTTGACATAACACTATGGTAACATGGTAACAAGGGTAACTTGACATGGCAAGCCATCAACAAGCATGCGATGACCCTAAAGTAACATACGAACTAGTAATAACCTTTATTATCTAATAACCAGAGCTGAGGTTTCAAATTCCAAGTTTGCTTGAACATTCTCCTCTGAATTTTTTTTAAAGCTACAGGTCAAAAACAACACAACCAACTAAAATCTCCTAAAAAACAAAATGGAGAAATATCGAATACTTGAAAAAAAAAAGAGTCCACTACAAGAGAAAGAAGTTGTTTGGTCCAGTGAGGGGAAGAGAGGATTTGGAGAAATAATATTCCCTTCTCTGGACTCCATTAAAATTAGATCCCATCGACCACCATTACCTACAATGCCCATTTTGGTAATAACCCCAGATTTCAAGTAATAACTACATATAATCTTAAAGAGAAAAGTCCCGAAGGAAACCAGTAGCTTCTTTATACAGGCACATGACTTTTCTGAGAAATAACTCTTCATAGTTTCCATCTGAAATTGTTAAGAGGCACCGTGCAAACTTCCCACACCCTTTCCAATGCATATTCCATTTCTCGATTCTTCCTCTATTGCACCGTAACCTCTCCAGCAATCTCCCACCATATAACTTCTCTTTAAACACCTCCTTCTAACACCTCCCTCTAACCTCAATTTCCTTATGTTTTCATTATTTGATAAAATTACTTTACTTTACATTTAAAAAAATAAACATTTATGCCATAAAACCAGAAGATAAAATAAATAAAACACAAGTTATTTTGCTCTGCAGAGCTGTATGGAAGTGAGGAAGGTGCTCTTCGATAATCCTTCTCTGCTCACACTCTCATGTATGCATGTTTCCTGGTAAGTCTAAGTTTGGGGGAACTGCACCCTCGCTCTTACTCCCCCATAGGTTCTCGTGAGGCAATATTGGAACCTAAGAGAAGAAGAGCTGGCAAAGCTGTCAAATGCCAAGTGGCCAATCCCGCCTAAAGTGAAGGTAGGTTCACTTGGTCTCTCCTAAACAGAAGAGAGTGTCCAAGAAATGAAATATTTAAAAAGCCAGCGAGAATACAACTAACCCCAGAGTTGAGCCCACGAGCACACTCTGAGTGCTCATGAGTGTGTGGGATGAGAAAGGAATCACGTAGCAGCATTCAGAAACAGTCCTGGGTCACAACCTGATGAGGTCTCCCCCTCAGTCAGGGAGAGGTCATTTTTTCATGTCGGGAGGGAGGTGGGCAGGAGATATGGCTTAGACATTGGTGCTGGCCTCTTTAGTAGGCTCGATGCTGTTCATCTCCACAATGTGGCCTTTCTCAGCTCTGTCAGCATCCTGCACCTGATCTTCAAATGCCCGTGTAATGTCTTCGAAAGTCCTGCCACGGGTCTCAGGGACTTTGAAGAAGGTGAAGATCAAGAAGATAACGAGGAAGACGGTGAAGACAATAAAAACGTAGGCTCCTAAGTAGTACTAGTGAAAGAATATGAGAAAGGAGTGTCAATACAAAATTCAAGTCATTGACAAATGCCAGTTGCCCTCATACCCCTATTTCTAAGAGACTTCATGCATGACTCTGTTATGAGTCCACTAACTTACCATATCTTTCTGTAATTTTGGGTCATTCCTTGTCCTATTCTTTAAAGCTAGCTGCTTCTAAATTACTGCATTTTAGGACTTTTGATTATTCCTTTTAAAATCTGGGTTGCTGGGGTCTTTCCTGGTGGTGCAAGGGGGTAAGACGCAACCTATGAGGCGTCCACAGTCACTGCAGCACGAGTTAGATCCCTGGCCAGGGAGCTACACCACATGGTGCAGCAGACCTCTCCTGACTCGCCCGCTGCTCCCCTCAGCAGTGTATTTCATTCAGTTGGTCTGCCTGTTCTGTTCCCCACTCTGTCTCTGGTGTATCTTCTCACCATCCTGCATCTCTGGCCTGTACTCCAGTTCTTGTATGCATAAATAAATCTTTAAAAAAATAAAATCTGGGTTTCTGAAAGGCTCATGAAAATAGGAGATGCATTGTAGATGCTGGCTTTTTTTTTTTTAAATTTTTATTTATTTATTTATACAAGCACTGGGTACAGTCAGAGGTGCGGGAGGGTGAGAGAATTCACCAGAGCCAGAGCGGAGAGTAGAACAGAGAGAGTGACGAAGTACACTGCTGAGGGGAGCAGTGGGCAGCAGGAGAGGTCTGCATACCATGTGGGACCCTCGCTGGTGGCTGGGGAGCAGCCGGGGATCGAACTGGCGCTGCAGAGGTTGCGGGCAGCTTCGCAACCCAGCACTCAACCGCTGCGCCACCAGGGAGGCCCAATGCTGGCTGTTTTATTTAACCAATTAGCTCTAGGTCATTTTATAATAGGGCCTACCTGATTCATAAGAGCCCATGATGGGTGTATTTTTAAGATCATGAAGGCATTAATGGTAACCCAAATTATGGATTAAGTATTCTGCTGGAATCTTGCAGAACAAGCAGATCTACTGAAATACACTGTTGAGGGGAGCAGCGGGCTAAACAGGAGAGGTGTGCTGCACATTGTGAGTAGCTCCCTGGCAGGGAGTGAACTTGTGCTGCAGTGGCTGCAGATAGCTTCGTAGTGCTGAGACATATAACCCCTGTGTCACTAGGGAGACCCTTAGTTGGAATCTTTTGAGGCATATTAAGTACCACCTTTTTTTCTAGGCAGAATTTTGCCTGTACCACCTCACATTTGTGGTCTTTTCCAAGTTCCCAGTCCCCCCGGCCCCCACCTTCAATATTTTGGGCTGTCATTGCTTCTTTTCCTGTGTGTCATTGAAAACAGGGCCGGGGGTAGGGAGAGGGGCTCTAGTTTAAAACCCTAGGCATCTGATCCTTCATGGCACCAGTCACCATTAAGGTGTATCTCACACACATTGGCCTAGGTGGCCAGGTGAGTCTTATTTTAATGTACTTACTGCAGCCGAGGGGAAGAGCAGTCCAACCAAAAAGTTGGAGGTCCAGTTGGAACAACCAGCCACCGCCATGGCAGCTGGGCGGGGTCCCTGGCTGAAGAGTTCGGCCACAATAAACCATGGAATGGGACCTGGACCAATTTCAAAGAAAGCCACGAACACCAAGATAGCTGCAATGCAGACAAAGCTCATCCAGTTGTAATGATCCTGTAAGAGAAAGGAACAGAAGAAAGTCAAGCGCAAAGTCAGCAAGACCGAAGAGAACAGACAGATAATGAAGAGCTCCTCTCATCCTGTAGTATAATGGAGGCACTGGACTTAAACGTGCAAAGTTTTGAGATTTTTGAATCCTAGTTGTATGATTGCACATGTCATGCACTGAGACCAATTCATCATCTGTAAATGGGAATGGTAATTGTCTCAGATGACTGTAAGCATTAAATAGTACATTTATGAGCCCTATGCTATGTAGATAACTGCTATAAAGATTATAGCAGTTTAATTATCTACCTCTTAAAATTCAGGCCACATGCGTCTCCCAAAGTTGACTCCCATCTCCAGCATCAACTGCCCACACTGTCCCAGAGACTAAACTGTCACCTTCCTCCCCTGAATTCTTTTCACTCACCTTTAATAACAAGGAAACAGTCATGAGGAGGGAACAAACAGCCATCCCTCCAAGGCCTATTATGTGGAGAGTCCTCCTTCCTGCTTTTTCCACCAGAAATAGCTGAAAGCAAATAACAAAAATATGGCCAGTGGTCCCTGAATCTGCCTTCTCCACAGCAGGACCCTCGTGATAGTCACACTCCCCCTTTCTGGTTCTAAGTTCAAAGCCCTACAGTATCCCTTCCGTAACCCCCTCTTTTCCATCCACTCCATATTTGTGTGAAGAGAATGAAGACTACTTATACCCATATTCATTATCTTTTCCCCAAGGATGAATTAAGTGCCCCCTCCAAACAAGTATGGTAGGGAGGTACAAGGACATGCTACCCATCTTTGAACAGGTGTAGCCCAAATTCCTTTTGCCCCACCAAACTGTCAAGTCATCCAACTTACAGAAACTACAGTGAATAAAGTGTTAACCACACCCGCACCAATGGTGGCATAGATCGGCTCCTTGACACCTGCATCTTTGAAGATTCCTGTGGAGTAATAGAATACCTGGTAGGAAACAAAAGCAGACGCAACTTTGAAATAGCAACTGTGCACAGCAGTTAAATAAACTCAAAAGTCCCAGGAGGCAGGGAGTCCCTTCCAGGTTTTAATTTTATTCAGTCTTTTCTGCGAGTGAATAATCTTTAGTATTTTATCAATGATGATATAATACTTGCAACGAATATGCCAATTTTCTTCCCTAGAGAGAAGCATGCACACCAAAAACCTAATGGACACACACACTCTATTCTATCTCTCACTCCTCTGGCTTTATTCCTTTTCTCTTTTTAAAAGATTTATTTATACAAGAGCTGGGGTACAGGTCAGAGGCGCGGGAGGGTGAGAGGATTCACCAGAGACAGAGCAGGGAGCAGCAGGCAAGTCAGGAGAGGTCTGCTGCACCATGTGGGTAGGTCCCTGGCCAGCTGGGGATCGAACTTGGGCTGCAGTGGCTGTGGATTGCTTCATAGTGCTATGCTTAAACCCCTTGTGCCACCAGGGAGGCCCTACACCAATTTTTAGACTGTAAGGTCCAGGCTGGGGGTGGGTAGAATGCCAAGGCACCCAAGTTCCCAGATCTAGTTTGGGGAAGGGTCTGCATTATCACTGATGATATCTTATAAAACAGATCAGAGAGGATCGTAAATTTAAAAAGTGAGTGGCCCCAAGAGGGCTAATGAAAATTAGATAAATCTATGATGCGCCATATATTCAAAGAGTCTGGAAGAGGATAAATCCTAAGTCCCCAAACGATAGGTGATGAATTTTACCTTTTACTTATTTTCTAATTTTTCCATGTGTGAAACGTGTTGTAGAAATAATTTGAAGAAATAAAACATAACCTGGGCCTCCCGGTACCACAAGGGGTTAAGACAACCTATGGGGCCTCCATGGTGCCCCAAGGGGTTGAGCACCACACTGTGGAGCAATCCACAGCCTCTGCAGCATGAGTTTGGTCCCTGGCCTGCCAGGGAGCGGCCCACATGGTGCAGCAGACCTCTCCTGACTTGCCCGCTGCTCCCCTCAGCAGTGTATTTCAGCTAATCTGCCTGTTCTGCTCCCCACTGTCTCTGGTGAATCCTCTCACCACCCTCCACCACCTCTGGCCTGTGCCCCAGCTCTTGTATGCATAGACAGATGGATCTCTCAAAAAAAAAAAAAAAAAAAAGGGACACAACCTATGAAGCTATCTGGGGCAATGCAGCCTGTACCCCAGCTCTTGTATGCATAAGTAAATAAATCTTAAAAAAAAAAAAAAAGAAAACAACCAAATCCAAAGAGGGATGACAGACATTTTCAGAGTGGCCACTACATGGCAAGCACTAGAAGGACTGTCCATAGGTGAAGAGGTGAGCAACAAGCAGCACTGCTCACTGCTGGGCAGGTGTTCTATGGAAACGAGTAGATACTCACGGCATTGATCCCAGAGAGCTGCTGGGAGAGCTGTAACATGATGGAGATGATGATGGGCTGCCGGTAACTGCGCACGCGGAACAACTCCAGGATGGTGGCTTTCTTTTCTTGCGCCATCCTTACACTCTCGTCTTTCATCTCCTGGATTTCCGGAGTCACATCCTGGGTGCCCCACAACTTCTGGAGGACTAGCAAGTAAAGTATAAAGATAAGGTGCCATTGCTGGTTTTTTTTTTTTTTTTTTAAGATTTTATTTATTTATGCATACAAGAGCTGGGGTACAGGCCAGAGATGCGGGGGGTTGGCCAGAGAGAGCATCTACCAGAGACAGAGTGGGGAACAGAACAGGCAGACTAACTGAAATATACTGCTGAGGGGAGCAGAGGGCAAGGCAGGAGGTCTGCCTCGCCGTGTGGGTTTCTCCCTGGCTGGCTAGGGATCGAACTTGTGCTGCAGAGGGTGCGAATTGCTTCATAGTGCGGTGCTTAACCCCCTGCACCACCAGGGAAGCCCGATCAAGTGCCATCCTTAATTCACTTTTCCATGAAAGCAGCTAGAAAGAGTCCTGAGCACAGTGATGAGCCAGCACCAGTGCCTTAACATGCTTTAAGGCACCTCATTCCTGAAGGGTTGAAAGTCCGACTTAGGGTCATTAGAAAACTTTCCACACTTGGATTCTGAGGGTCCTCACCCTAACACAAATCACAACCCCACAATATATATATTTTCTTAGCATAGAAGACCTGGGGTGTAGGCCAGAGGAGTGGGGGGAGGGTGAGAGGATTCACCACAGACAGAGCGGGGAGCAGAACAAGCAGACTGACTGAAATACACTGCTGAGGGGAGCAGCGGGCCAGACAGGAGAGGTCTGCTGCTCCATATGTGAGTTACCTCCCTGGCCAGGGATTGAACTCAAGCCAACTCAGCCAGTAGCGGTGATACTGTGATAGCGCAGTGACTTAATCTCTAGGCCACTAGGGAGACTCACTTCTTATCATGAAGGTGTGAAGGATACTTACCCTCCTTAGCTCTGTCTTCCTCCCTTCTGTTAATGAGCAAGAATCTAGGACTTTCAGGGCAAAATGGAAGGGCCGCACTTTGGATGACGGCTGGAACAATGGTCAAGCCCAGAAGCACGGGCCAGAGGTCTTCAGTTCCCAAGATGCCTTTCAGACCGAAGATCTAGAAAACAAACACGGATAATACTATCAAGCCCACACTAGACTGGCCACAAATCCATTTAAAAAAAATTCCAGAAAACAATTTTTTCTTTTTATCACAAAATAAACTGCTCCTTTTCCTTTCTCTGCCCTGCCTGCTTCCTTAGCTGCCTGTGAACTAGTTAGAAAAATAACTGAAACTTAGGTTAAGTTGAATATGTGCCAGACATTTCATGTTTTTATCTGTTAATTCATCCTATGAACCATGAATTCACCCTCATTAAGTGTAAGTCTTAGATTACCTGCGCCACCAGAATTCCCACGACGATGCCCAACTGGTTGAGGGTACCAAAGGCTCCCCGTAGGGCAGTCGGAGACACCTCTCCAATGTACATGGGCACAAAACCAGTGCAGAGTCCGCAGAAGAGACCAATGATCAGCCGACCGATGATCAGCATTTCAGCTGACTGTGCTAATTTGCAGAAGCCCATTAAGCAGCCTCCTGTGATGGCCAACAGGTTGACAATAAGCATTGAATTGCGTCTGAAAGGTTAAATAAACAAAGTTAGCATAACAGTCCTTCTCATGTGACTCCAAATTCTTATACCTTCTTTTTTGGTTTAACTTTTCCAGTTTATTTTTTAATTTAATTTTTTAAAGAAGATTAATTTATTTATGTGTACAAGAACTGGGGTACAGGCCAGAGGTTCAGGGGGTGAGAATTCACCAGAGACAGTGGGGAACAGAACAGGCAGACTGATTGAAATACACTGCTGAGGGGAGCTGCAGGCGGGACAAGAGAGATCTGCTGCACCATGTGGGTTAGCTGCCTGGCTGGGGGTTGCACTCATGCTGCAGTGGCGACCCATAGCTTCATAGTGCTGACAGCCCTTTTCCAGTTTATGAGGACATTTCTAGTTAAGGTAACCAGGATCAATGGTTCTTACACCCTATATGCATCAAACCCACCTAGAATACTTGCTTAAGAGCCTACTCTAAGTCATAGAAGTAACGCAGGATTTTAGAAAATCCCAGGCCAATAGTTCTCCAAGATGTCCACAAACTAACAATATTAGCTAGAAATTAAAATAGTCCTACCTTGAGCCTCCCTGGTGGCCTAGGGGTTAAATCTCAGTGCTATTACCAGGACAGCCTGAGTTCGATCCCCAGGCGGGGAGATAATCCACATAGGGGAGATAATCCACATAAGGCGTGGCAGACTACTCTAGTCTCATCTGCTGCTCCCCCTAGATCTGCCCTCCACTCTTGTCTCTGGTGAATCTTCTCACCCCTCTGGCTCCACCCCAGTTTTTGTATGCAAAAATAAATGTACTCTTTAATAAAATAAAAATAGTCCCATCTCCTTCCATATTGACTAAATCACTAGGTCTGACTCTGAGGTGGGCTGGGGCAATCTGTGTTTTAAAAAGCCCATCAGATAGATCTTCAACTAGATGAAATAAAACACCATGGTTTTCTAGGTAACTCTGATAGAGACGCTCCAGAAACTCACTCAAGAGAAATGTCTGGGCCAGTGTTGATCTTTTTGATTTCTATCGCATCTTGTTATAGCACAGTTGCTCAGATGTCACCAACATATTAAGGATGACAGTTTAGACTAAACTGTGAAAACTACCTAAGACAAAATTGTTTCTGCAACACAGAAAATTTTATGCAAAAAGCAGTCAGTTTCATGTCTCCTGCTGTAGACTAGATAGGTCATGCCATTAATGATTACTGATAACCAGTATAAAATAATAAATCCCTGCATTTATGTGCTAAGTGTGGGAGGCAAAACAGCTGATTTGAACAGCTGATTGAAGACAGAAAAGATCAGTGTTGAAAAACTACTGGAGCTGTTGGAGAACGAGCACCCTGATAGCTCAAAGGTTTGACTGGGGACACTGGAATTGGAATTACTTGGGGAACTTTGAGAAAGTACTTAGAAACATGGGGCTTTCTCCCCAGATATGGATTTAAACTGACTTGGGGCATGGGACCTTTAAAATCTCTCACAGAGAGAACCTCTGTGAAAAAGAAATTTCTTTCCTACTTCTTACTTTTACCATCTCTGCATTGCTTTTCCTTTCTACTCCTCCTCTATTAGGTCCTTTTGTTAATAGAATAATAGGAAGAAAGGCATAATAGTTATGGAAAGAAGATCTTAAGATTCTAATGGCTTTAGTAGACAAAAGACTGTCAGAAAAAATTCAAACATTATAAGACAGGTTGCCTTAAAATTTTTTTAAACTTGAAGTCCATTGCAGAACATGTAATTATCAAGTTAACGGTTCCCTTACCGGTCCTTACTGAAAGTATTCTACCCTTTAAGACATTTTATTTAGCTAGCTCACAGTGCAAGAAGATTCAATTTTCTTCTCTTGGTAAAAGAACTTCAGTTATTTGGCTGTTATGCTCATTTGCCACAGACTAAGAACTATAAAATATTTCCTACCAATCTGTTATGTGAATCAATGAAAACACTTGCAGCAAAACTCCCAAATGTAAAAAAAGCAAACAACTTCTAACCTTGTAAATAAAGTATGTTTCTGGAAAATTCCAGTGGACTTTACTACCTGGCAGAGTCAGGACCAGTTGGCCTAGGTTTCCCCTAATCAGAATGTGAGGTACCCTTATTCAAATACATCATCACTTCCAGACCCTTATTCTCAACACCTGTCCTCAATGCAACCACAACAGTCGTTTTTCTTGCCCATTTCTGGTCAATACCTGCCAAAGCGGTTGACAAAGAGTCCAACGGAAAAGGAGCCAACCATACCACCAACGGAGAAGATGGCTACAGACAAGGACCACACGGTTGTGAGCAACACGGTACTGGGATACTCATTTGTTCTCATTTGCAAAGTGATATTCAGATAGTCCTTTATGATCTGCAAATTAAAATGGTTGGTGGGAGGCAGATTGTTAAAATTGGATTAGAAAAATTATCGATTACCTCCCGCTTCCTATGAGAGAATCCTAATAATTACTTTATAGGTAGAAGACTCAAGGAATGAATAGATGGGGATGGAAGAGACAGATGACACATCGGAGTAAATGGTACTAGTTCTGAAAAGAATAAAACTTTTATTTGTCTTGAAGATCCCTGTAGGTAGTTGCACAGATGTTCAGTGGCTACCCCACAGTCTCCTGAGAGCTACCCCTTTCTTTGTAACTAACCCCCAGGGAATAACAGTGTATCACCATGGGGTGAGAGAAGAACCGGTAAGTGTTCAGAGTCTAAGAGATCCAGTGAGCTTTTTTTTTTTTTTTTTTTTTTAAATTTTTTTTTTTTTTTTTAAAGATTTATTTATTTATTTATGCAAGCACTGGGTACAGTCAGAAGCGCGGGAGGGTGAGAGAATTCACCAAAGCCAGAGCGGAGAGCAGAACAGGCAGAAGGACCGAAGTACACTGCTGAGGGGAGCAGCGGGCGGCAGGAGAGGTCTGCGCGCCATGCGGGACCCTCCTCAGGTGGCCGGGGAGCAGCCGGGGATCGAACCGGCGTCACAGAGACTGCAGGCAGCTTCGCAACCCAGCGCTCAACCGCTGCGCCACTGGGGAGGCCCTCAGTGAGCTTTTTTGCTTCAACTAATGATTCAACTACACTTTCCCATCAACATACTGTCCCACTTCAACCTTAGCAAACTAGACACCAAATCTGTCTTAAACTCTTAATTCTTGAAAGCCTGCTGAAAGGAGAATCATCCCCCTATTCTAAATTCTAACTCCGCGTGCCTGGCACTCACCATCTCGGGAGCATTGATGACTCCAGTGTTGAAGCCAAACTGGAAGGAGCCTATAGTGGCGGTGGTGATGGCAAAGACCAGGTACGCGGTCACCTGAATGGGAAGGAGGAAGGAAAGAAACAGTCGGTATAACTTTTCATTGGGCCTATGAGTGGCAGGAAAATAAAAATCTAATGAGATTTAGGCAATGAATGGGTAACAAAATACGTTACAATGAAGACCTGATCTGGAGATACAGACTCAGTAAGCGGAATGCACCTGGGGAAAAGGGTAAGAAAGGAGTAAAGAGGAACCAAATTAGTGGATTTGGAAGCTTTCAAAAAACTCCTCAGGAAGAAACAAAGAGTTGGGCTCGAGTATAAAGGATTTAGGCCAGTAAAGGAAAACACAGTCTTAGAATTCTTTTCCACAAAAGCCCGGAGCAGGGAGGGAGGTGGTGGTGCTGGGTGCCTTCACCACTGGGATGTTCTGAGAGCATCCTTCTGGGTCTCATACTCCACAGAATCTACCCACAGCATCCAGGCCGCATTTGAAATTCTTTACTGACTACAGTACTGCTATGGCCCACCCAGCAGGGGGCGAACATAAGTCGTGTACAAACCAACAGATTATTTCTTGGGGGGGATGGGGGGAGAATGAGCATCTCTCACCTCCCCCAAATAAAACAAGTGGGTGTTGTCATAACTTTCAACCTCAAGATAGCCCAATTTTTTATGCCCAAGGACATCCCCTACGGACCGTTACTTATCTTAAACTCCTTCTCTCTCAGTGGCAAGCTAGGAGTTTCCGTTCTCCAAATTGACCTTGCCTCTGGGCAACCAGGGTAAGTAAGTGCCCCAGGAGGTCCCCAGCCAGTGCTAAGCTTTTTGTTTAATCCTTTCCCCTTTCCGAAAAGCCTCCTGCTTTCCTCTCAATACCTACTACCCGTTAGGGCCTCTTCCTTCCCATTTTTCATCCCTTTTATTTTCCTTTATTTTCCAATAAGTTTACGTGTAGCATAAAAGCCTTTCTCCCTACTAATAAGGAATACAGGATACAAAACAGCCTCAAGAGATTCTGCACGCTTAACCCACACAATAGCAAGGGCAATGGGAATTCTTAGTATCCAGGGCATCCTGTACGTTACTGAACAGAGGGTTCGACACTTCCACTATCCCCAAACAAATCCCAGGTCCCCTTTTCAAGGTCTAATACTTCCAGGGAAATTCTCAAGTTGGCTGAGACCCACACTTAAAATCAATATGACCAAGCAGCCCCTGAGTACTCGTCATACCAGCCTCAGTGGCTCTAATTACGTAAACTCAGCCTGGCAAGGAAATAAATACTACTCCAGGTGACATTCCCTGCGACCAAGGATGAACCGAGCTGGCATAAATCCTTGATGGGGCTTTGACATGTAAAAAGAGCTGCTTTGAGCCCCGTAGCATTGTCGGCAGCAGAGAAATGGAAAGGCCTTACATTTAAGATGGCTAGGTGACTTAGAGTAAAATACAACATTGCCACCAGCATGAAGGTTTGCCTTTCTGATAGCCCCCAAACAAGCAAAAATAATCGTCAATTATATCATCCTTACCCGATAGGTCCCCATGGCCCTAATTACATTCGTCTCAAATCTTCACGACAGCTGTAGGAGTGGGATTCCAGCGATGCCTCTTCCAGCCAGCAAAGCCTTCAAGATGTCCTCGTCCTCCGCAGCAAGTTTTCCCGAGCCCCCCGCAGCGCTGCCTTCTCCCTCCCTCTCATCGCTAAGAGGCGATCCATCGCCCATTTATAATCTCCGCAAAGGGAGGAGCCTGGACCAAGCCTCCCAGCCCCACCCCAAGCCCCCGCCCCAAGTAATCTCGTGACCTCCCAGAATTTTGTGACACCAAACTCGGCCCCCACCTTAAGCAACAACTTAATCCCTCCCTCTTCAAAACGACATCCTGCAGCCTCCCCTACTCCGTTGTTTTTTTTTTTTTTTTTTTTTTTTTAACCTCTCTCTCTTTTCCTCTTTAAAACGGCGAAAGCCTCTTAGTTTCACAGACAAAATGCCACCAGAAAAGCCTCGAGGGAGGGCAAATACACTTTTTTGCTTCTGGCATCCGCTCAGAATTGAATCCATCTATTTCGAGGTGAGAGCAAATGCTGTCTCTGTGAGACAAAGTCGAGAGGGTGCTACTAACCGAGGTAAGGTTGTTTAAAGGACACGTGTAAGCAGAAAGGATTCAGTAATTCTATGAACTTATCAGCTGGGTTTTTTTTTTCTTTTTTTTGATTGTAGGCTCATGATTGCAGGATCATGAAGGCAACTGTCTCAAAGCAAAAGGAGGCAAAATTTGGGCCCGTTTGGGGCTCTGCTTGTCCTCTGATCAGCATCACTTCCCCCAGGAAGAGGGGGACCTGCCCGAGTGGGAGGCACACCGGGTCTCCTGGGCTTTAGACTGCCTTCACCCATCCTGAATTCTGTCATTTCTGTAACGTTTTGCTTCTAGTCTCAGGTTCACAGCATCTAGAGACCGACCAACCACCAAATTCAGTTGAACAGGTATCTGCTGAAAACACACTCTATATGGGGTACTTGCCCCCCCGCCAAAGTCTTGATCCTTAAAGCATTGCTAGCGTTTCTCTTCTTCCCCTTAAAAAATGAAAAAGGGACAAGGCCAGTTTGTGATTCTCACACAACTGGAGAGATGGTCAACATCCTACTAATTACGCTGTGATTTTCTTGAAAGTGGGGGATAAAGAACCGATTACTAAGCTATAAATGCAAATTGAAGGAGTGGAGCTGACAGGGAAAACGTGGAAAAACACAGGCGGAGGATAACAGTGGTCAGGGGAGAGGCGTCAGCTCGCGAGTCAACAAAACGGAACAATTTAGCTGTGGGTGAAGAGTTGGGTAAAGGAGAGATAACATCGAGGCTCGAAGGGAGGCGAGTATCAGTGGTCAAATCCCCAACACCCATTAAGTTGCAGCCTAGCAACGCTTTCGGGCTAGGGGGAGAGAGTGTTGAGAGCAAAACCCCAGTAAATGGCTCCACTCTTTCCACTGTAGGAAGTGCATCGTCCTTTGGGGTTTTGGTTGTGGGTTTAGACTTCAAACTGCTGGTGCGGAACCAGAAACAACCGGATTATGCTGTCTCCTCCCCTTAAAAGAGGATTTTTTTCTAAATTGGTAAAGTGGCTGAAAGGACGAGTGAAACGAGTGAAACGTGACAAACATCGAAGAAAACCTCCCTGAAGTCACACCTCCCCCTGCCCCCCACCTCCCCTGTCCTTCCAGGAAACTCTGAACCCAGCGGCCCCTTAGTTACCAAGGCAACTGATTTGTGCAGCCAAAGGAAAAAAAAGAATATCCCATGTAGCTGGTCTGCCCAGTAGATTATAATTTGGGCCACTTGTGTAATATAAAATTTCTAGTAGCCACTTTAAAATTTTTTAAAGAAACAAAAAATTAATTTTAATAATTATTGCATGTGACCTGAATCATTCCAAACAATAGCCTTTCAGCATGCAATCAATAGAAAAACTATTAATAAGATAGCTGACCTTTTTTCCCACTGTCTTCCTCCCCTCCCACCGAGCTTTGATCTTTATCAAAGCTCTATTTTAGACTCTAAGGCTTCTACAGTTAAAGTAATATGTCATTCTGGCAAGAAAGCAAAGTTGTGTATAATGGGAAAATATTTTAATTGCTTCCATTTTAATGAGTTAAAAATGAAAAGTCCATAGTCCCACCAGCTCCATGTAGGAGCTCAACAACTAGTGAGCTGGTGGACCTGGTGGTTTAGAGTAAGACTGATGTAAGAACTCATATTTTCCTCCAGCTTTTTCTCCACTCATTTTTTAATCTTGGATTTTCAATATTTGTTTCACAATATCATTTTTGAGTCTAAAGCACTTTCTTTTCTTCTTTTTTTTTAAAGATTTATTTTATTTATTTGTACATACAAGAGCTGAGGTGCAGGCCAGAGGTGTGAGAGGTGAGAGGATTCACCAAAGACAGAGTGGGGAGCAGAACAGGCAGATCTACTGAAATACACTTCAGTGGGCCAGTCAGGAGAGGTCTGCTGCACCATGTGGGTAGCTCCCTGGCTGGGGATAGAACACATGCTACAGTGCTGCTGAAAGCTTCATAGTGCTGAGACTTAACCCCTTATGCCACCAGGGAGGCTCTAAATTACCTTCTTTTCTTCGTTCCTCTCCCTAATCTTACAATAATTATTCTTTACATTTTGTAAGCACCCATGGCACCCATGAAAGAAGAGACTACTCTGTTCTACACTTCGCATAAATTAGAACTGGTTCCCATGTCATTCCACAACAGTCTTCGCCCTGGTAATTATATGCTCAGTATTTATTGAACGAATGCATGAGTTAATTGTGAGGGCCCAGAATTAGACCTATCCCAAATGTGTACAACAGCTATGGAGAAAGATAATGCTGAAGATCGAGTTTTAGATATTTGAAAATCTGTCCATTATTTTCTTCTTGGTTAAAAAATTAAAAGGGTGGAGGTTGAAAAAGAGAGTTTTGAAACCTGTTTTCTCTGGCTAATCCTCACTATGAGAAAATTATCTTTGAAGAAGCTAAGTAGGCTAGCTAGTAGAGAGAGAAACTTTTACTTCTATCTATATATGTTATATATGTATAATATATAACAATATTATAACTTATTAAGCTGAGTCTCAAGAATCTCAAAATGTTCTGAATATATTGAATGAAATGTTCCTTAAGCATGCAGGACCTAATAAACTCTTGTCCTTCAGAAACCTGTTCAGTACTGGGCTTGTCCCAACCAAAACACCAATTTAGGCATTCCTCGCCCCAGGCAACAGATAGTCATTGCTCAATACAACTCTTTGTCCATGTCCTTGAGGAAATGGGTTGGTTGACTGGAGTCTTTGATGCACTTTGGGAGTCGCCCACTAGAGTCTACTCTATTGTAGCCCTAGTCGCATCAACCTAGAAGGGAGTATGCTGGGGAGGCCAGCAAGGAAACGTCTTAAAACACATACCCGTGTATTTGGTTCCTGGGAGATATACTGCCATCTTTTCTAAAAACAAAGGAAGAAGAAATATGGTGGATATATTTAAAAATAGAGTAGGCTGGGAAGGAATGTTGCGAAATTACCACCCAGTAGTTTAATATAGGTCTGCTTAGAAAAAAGTAAATGAATAATGGAGCAGGATCTCCAAATGCAGATTATCTGCAAACCTTTAGTCTCATCTAGCTTTGTGATCCTCTGGGAGAAGGATGTTTGCCAGTGTGATAACCAAGTGGAGAAACAAACAAACCAAAGTCCTAAAATCAGAGAAAACAGGGCTTAAACACTTTGAGGTAATAACAAGGAACTGCTTCTTTTACACAACAATGTAATGGCATTTCGAGGCACACAAAAAAGCACTGCTCTAAAAACTGCTCAAGTTAATCCTATTCTTTGTATTTGTAATATTCGTCATAAAGAAGAACTTTATACCTATCTTATTAAGATAGGTCTAAACAGAGTCAATTTTGAATCTGAAAACACTGTAGAAAATAAATCCCCAGGGTGAAGAAGGCAAAAATTTCAGAAATGTTGATTTTCCTGTCTAAACTGGGTTTCAACCATTCATTATTCTAATTGATCCTCAAGGACTTAATCCCAGTTCCCAGACCCTTAAAAGGGGTCTTCCCTCCTCCAATTTCCATTAAAAAATAAATCCATCACACACTAGTGCTACATGAATTACACGAAATCAAAATTCTAATTGTATCAGTCTTCTACTCATATGTCTTCAATGGTTATCGAGTAATATCTAGACAAGTGCCGTGCAAAAGAAGTAAAATGTGAGCCATATAGGAAATTTAAAATTTTCCATTGGTCACATTAAAAATATATTTAAAATGAGTGGTTCATTTTATGTTTTTAAACTAATGTACCCCAAATATTCTCATTTCAACACGTAATAAATATAAAACATTATCAATAAGATATTTTACAAATTTTGGTAGTAGATCTTTGAAACCCACTCTATATTTTACACTTGGCAAACACATTTTAATCAGGACACTAAATTTCCAACAATCAAGGAGAAACATCCTCTTAAATTTGTATTTCACGGTCTCCCCGGTGGCGCAGCGATTGAGCGCCACGACGCGAAGCTGTCTGCATCCTCTGCAGTGCGGGTTCGATTCCCTGTTGGCCAGGGAGAACCCCACATGGTGCAGCAGACCTCTCCTGCCCCGCCCGCTGCTCTCCTCAACAGTGTCTTTGGTCCGTCTGCCTGTTCTGCTCCCAGCTCTGGCTCTGGTGAATTCTCTCACCTTCCCGCGCTTCTGACCTGTACCCTAGTTCTTGTATAAAATAAATAAATCTTAAAAAAAAAAATTTGTATTTAACAAAAAATATTTTACACTACTCCAATTTTTATGTTCAAAACTAAATGACTTGTAAAATGGGATAGAATTAAGTCAGAGTAGAAAAATAAATGCAGGATGATTTCATTCATATGTGGAATACAGAGAAACAAAGTAAAGGAACAGATAACCAAACCGAAACAAATCCTTGAAATTTGACTGCCATCAGTGAGGCTGCCAGAGGGGCAGTATTGGGGGAGGAGGTGGGAAAGCAAAGAAGCAAGAGGGTCCTGTATTCTAAAGTGGAGGGATATTGGCACATTTGAAGAGGTGTGAGCCTAGACCCCTAAAACCTAATGTTGCAAATGGATGTAACCGCAACAAAAACAATTTAATTTTAAAAAAATAAAATGGGGGGCCTCCCTGGTG